TTAACTCGAGTTAGCTTAACCTCGCCGTATTGACAAGCGGTTGGTCTTGTTTTAGAGAGCAAAGAATTCTGCTTAATGCAATACCATGAAATTATTATAGACTCGCAGGCAAAGTAGAATAATGTTGTCGTGAAATAGCACTATTTTCCCGTTTTTCCGTTGTACACTCTAGGTATTATTAGCTCTTGATATATATATATATATAGGTCGCTACGTTTATTTCTTTCAGGCGTCCCATCTATCTATATCGTTAGACTTATCATGGATGCTATAGTTTACACATCGATGAGAAACTCCGCGTTCGCTACTTCCATGCCGGTAAACAGCGCCGAAGAATAACAGTGCTTTCGTGGATCCACACGGGACTGCGAGGTTGACACACGAGCAACCACAATACCCGTAATTAATTAATGCCATACTTAATACCCTTCATTAGCATAATATTTTATGGGCAATAGTGTTTAATACTTACATCCCTCTGAAGGGTCGAGTCTGCGCGCTCTCCTGCCATGCTTGGAGTTGTTGTGAACAAACATGTTGTCGGATACCGCCAGTAACGCACCATCGACGCCCACTGTGGTCGACACCACCACCTACCAAAACAATCACACTTTACTGTAAAAAATATCAGAATTGAACGATCGTATCGCTCGCAATGAATTTCTATGGCTAGTCAAATTTTACCACCATTTCAGCGTGTCGAGTATCAAGTGTGTCATGGAAGTCCGTACTCAATAATATAATATGAGTAAAAAACCCGGTATGGTTAGGTATCAAAAAGAATCTAATCTAGGGCCAAGACTATGCATTGAAAGTGCTACTAGTGATCAGAATAAGTTATCGACAAAGGCAAATATAATATTTACATGAATCTATCTACGAGCATTTGGTAGACACGACGTTATATCCGCCACTGACGATACTTTCCACGCCTCTGTGTTTTCGACATCGAAATATAATGCCTAACATGTGTTCAGTCTAACGGCCCAAATACAAACACGCACTTTAGCCCAACACGACAGCAAACCGAGAATCACACAGTGTAAGCCTCTACAGTCTAGTATGGGCCACCCAGAAGCACTGATCAGGGATCGGGTCGCTAGCAAAAGTCAAGTAAATCATTCTTTCCCGCTAGGAATCAGCTTACCGCATGAGAAATTTGTTAAAGATAAGGTCGTAAATTGCAAGAAATGGGCGATGGGCGATGACATCAGGATGCAACAGCCACAAGATGACTGACCGATGTTCTTATACGTCGGTACAAGTTAACAAGTTGACAACAAGAAAGGATAATCGCAGCCGGAGTGCAAATAAAGCATGGCCGGTTTAGCTAAATTTCATGCAGTGAGTTTCTTGCTTGATACCGAAAACTATGTTGCCCTTGGTTATTTATAAATGCATTATTTGTTTTATGTACGATCGCTTCTCATTGTTATGTTAAAAACTTACTATGGTAAACTACGCAAGGCCACACGTTTCATATAAGGGGATTATTCCCCACAAGAATACTAACTCATGATACATGTGTCTCACTACGCCAATTTTTGTAGGCATCCGTATAAACATCATTCATATTTAATAAGTAAAAAATACATGTGTCTACCTGAAAACGCCGCATGTCTCTCGGGTTTCCTGCATTCTTGAGACAGTTCTGATTGCACTTTAAGAAGAATTTGAGAAAAAATCTGAAAAGAAAAAGAGAACAATGATGAGTATTGCTGTTATAAGCAGTAATATATCAGGAATCACGCTGATTAGTTCGTATATAGATTTGTAAAACAACGGCAGCACTACATCGCGTATATTGAGATCTAGTCGACCTTACCATTATATCGTAAATAAATAAATAAATAATTACTTATATATAAATCCTATATATATATTTATATTCTATTTTATTTATTTATTTATTATTTCCTTATTTATTTATTATTATTCTGTTTAGATCGTTGTCAAATCTTGACCTACGATCTTGTTTTTGGCGTTATATTAAAGACAATGTTTTTTTCACATAGGGCTCTCAACTTTCCTACGGGTCGATTCAATGTTGGCACGTTTTGAAAGGCTTCCCGCACGGTGAATTTGGTATGTCCGCTGCCAATATACTCGTCAAGTGCATTGGCGACGACTGACGCGCAGCAGACATAAATAGGCACTCATATCGCTTCATCGAGGGGGAAGATCATGTATTGCACGCGTGAGAGGTGATTGGGAACCATTCCTCGGCATGTCAACCGTGCTGAATGACAATTTTTGACGGCAGCGCCGTTCATTATTGTTTTTTGAAGGGCTCAGGCATGACATGAATTTCAGCAAGCTCCGAGCAAGTCGGCCGTTATCTATGCCGGCGCGCAGCTGAGTACTTTATTAGCCCATCGCTTGTCGTTTCTAATGGATGAGAATATTTGCAGTGCTCAGAGGTTGAATAAAGCATACATGCTATAGATCGCCCAATTGTGATGATGCATTAGTCACCGTTCGTCTCCGCTCACGAGGCCCTAGGGACGTATGCGATGAATATCATCCATAATGACTTATGAATGATGGTTTTCTATCCAAAGGTTTTGTATAGATGATATTTTAATTATTTTTATCTTTTATGGTCTCCATTTTACTGAAGTTATTATTATTGCGCGAACAAAGGTAATGTAGTCGGTCACTGTATAGACGTTTATTGTGTGGTTGTTCGGCTTGTAGATGGCAGCGCGCTGTGAACAAAATGGCACACTTTAAAATCTTTATATTTCATCAGCCGAAAGTTATGTATTTACACGGTGCAGTTACGACTGAATGGCAAAATTAAAAGCAGCGATGAACAGCGGGTATGTAAATGTAGACGGGCTCACTAATCCCCCTCCCTGACGTGATGATGCCACGCTTTCCTCCGGCTCTGATAAATAAGTAACGCGGTTGAGGAGATGTGCAAACACTTTAACTGAGATGGAGTTCTCTTTCATTTATGAGGCTGCCCATCATATTTCATTAGTTTTGTGTCGAGCTCCCTCAGCGATGGACGAAAGTCGATGAGACTACCGTGACTACTAACGCATGAGATGACCCAGGATACTTATACGTATTTTACTTTGTTTTTTAATGTTATCTTGTGATGTGTCTTCTCGATAGTTTTCAGTCTTGAATTATTATTTGTATTTTCTGGACGGGGACTTGCGTTTATCAAGCATCTACTACTCTATACTATATATATATATACTCTATACTACTCTACTATGACTAGCTATACTACTATTTTATTATTATTACCCTCGAATATGTTACGATAAGGAAATTTCCAAAGGTTTTATGCCTCTATTATCTGTTCTAATATAATTCACATCAATAATAGGAGAAATAAAACTGCATTACGATGACAATATTTATGAACATTTTCCGTGCGTATTTCTTAGTATATTGTATTTCATCATTATAGCTAAAAAATAATGCAGAGAATCGCACTAATTATAAAATCGCATGGCGATGGGTTATATACATTTGCACGACAAGATATAGCTCTGATGGATTCTAATTTAGCCACTAAGTATCAGCCATTTCATTTTCGGGCGTATGTTATAATCAACAATGCATGCTTACTACTTTATCTCGAACATTTGGCTCTATGTGAAGTTGTTCTCTGATTATCATTATATATTATAAATATCATTGTTAATATTATAAATTAACTGCCATAATTTACTTTTGGTAAGGCTCATAGTATACTGCGAGCACATATAGATTACACTACGTGCATGAACGTGGTTATTACGATGCATGTGGCGCATATACTTTGTATATGGTGTTATTCATCAATATGTATAGCGGAACGACAAACATTTGGATTATAGAATTCTGGATTTAAATATGGCGGTACGGTGTAAAGGACTGATCACGAGGCGCGCGAACACTTACACGGTCACGGTGGGATTTCCATTCACACAGATTACCGATGCACAAACAGCAGACGAGTAGAATGGACCACCCGTCGTGAATTTGTAACATCCCGACGACGTGTTCCAGGAAGAATTTAGCGGCACGAACGCCGATCAAATAATGACATACGTGTTTGAGGCGCCCCTATTGGTGATCATGCCCGATCCATCAAACAGACTGCAAACACATCGCACGCTGCTGGGTATATTACAGTATTAATGCCCACTCATTTTATTTTTAGTAGCAGGATTTGAATTTTTAGCTCATTTTAATCACGTATGGGTATCGCAGTACGTATAGCTACGATGTCGTTAACGTTACACTCTATTATTATATGTATACTATACTACTTTGAACACAGTTGGGGGATCTCTATAGATGTTCCGTGCAGTAGATTTCACGGGTTACAACATTTTCACCCGCAGAACAATTACTATCTCATTAACATGCGATTAACTCTCAATGAGAATGCTCAATAACTATTTCACTTTGCATGCGATGAAAATTTACAACGTGAGAAAGATCTGCATCAAATTTTTCTCGGCACGCCCGCTACGTATCTGCTTCGTTCAAACATGAATAAATTCTCGTGGAAGATGTGAACCACGACGTCGCACCGTCACTGCACCTTGATCTTCATTTGTCATCGCTGTCTTTCGCGCAGTCTCCATTATAAGGACAGCCTCGGCCTAATGGCAACCATCTAAATTATTCAGTCATTTTGATAGCAATCACTAATTGATGGGAACCAGCGATTAATAATTTATTAGCATAAATGCCACAGAGCTACAATTCGTTGCTGCAAATCGCTACTTAGCTGCGCTGAGCTCATTATAGGAACAAAAGCCAAATAGGGTCAGATGATCGTAAGTTTCTGCTCTTCTCCTGTAACGCGAGGATTAGCAGCGCGGACCATCACGGCGGTGGTGGACAGACGGCGACAACGGCGAATTTCGCCCCCAAAGAGGATTAGTCTAGATTACAGACACCGAACACCTCCCGTGCGTCCCCCGCGACTGCTAGAATTACCAACACTGTTGGTCACGATCTTTGGGGAGCGAAGTCGTAATTTTCTACAAATGTCCTGTCGAATTCACATAAGCAATTTAGTGCAAGTCGTATCCAGGGAAGGCTAGAGTCACTAGTGACTAATCACGAATTGAATGCATGTAATACAGTTGACACGAGATTGCTACTCTAGATATACTTGCGCGTAATATTAATATATATATATATATATATAACCTAACGCGGGAAAATTTTGCATCAAAATGTCGATTATACAAGTCGATGTCGGCTGACATTTTTCATAGATTTAAATTTTTATTAAGAATCTGTTAGTTGAAAGGCTTAACGGCACGATATAACCATGTTATGTACGATTATTTGTCGGGAATGTATATGTATGTGTGCATATATATATATATATATATATATATATATATATATATATATGATTTATTTATTAAATTAATTATCTATTTATATACAGTATATACACAATAGAAATATTATCGGGTATTTTTTAATATTGATTTTTTTTTTAATTGCACATCCATGCTAGCAGGGAATCCGCTTTTCCCGTAAAGCACGCTCGCAGTTGATAACCTAAGACATCAAACACGCAATGATATCATGAATATATATATATATATACTATAGCGTACGAATAGCGGGCAGAACAACGAGTAGACAATGGAAATGTTTCTGATTTGGCCGCTATGATGGGAAGACAGACCGTTTCACCTGCTGCAAATCACTGATAGTGCCTCTAGGGGCAGACATGAAGCGCTTTTTTATGGGCATTCATGAGGAAGCTAGCCACGAGGATCCATCAGAGTCATACGCGAGCAGGATGCACCTGGCCTGGCCGCGCACGTTACAGCCAACCAAACAGGAACAATCATTTTCAAAGGCAAATTAACATGAATTTTTAATTGAATTATTTAATTAATTTATACCGATGAATTAAATCCGTGAGGAATCTATAGGTAAATTGTTTTGACAGCTGAGAAAGTGATGAGGCGAGAAGTCTTGGAAATAATGATGGTTTCTTTGAACAAAAAACTCGTTGATAAATATTACCATGATTGCATGAGCAAATTAAGAATGAGATCGATGCCGTATAGCGTAGAGGTCTACGAGATCGAAGGAGAGGGGGCGAGGGAGGGAGTGCGCATGACCACGATTTAGGAATTCACATGCTTACTAATGATGCATTCATTTTTAATCTGTGGACGGTTAACAAATTGCCGCAAACGACTGGATAATTGTACCGGATTTTAAGACGAAGTCGCTTGTTTTCTGTTTAGTAGTATTTATAATTGAAAAACGCTTTGCAAGTATTTATACGATTAACATAAACGCACGATTGCATAAACGATTATTATTATTATTTTCACCATGCTATTCTACATGAAGGGAAATGTGCTGGTGTGGTGAAACGAAGGCTATATTCGGACTAATCTCGCCGTGACGTACACAGATGCAAAAGATGAGAGTTTTCTTAATGCTAATGCAAATGAACAAGTACTCAAACGCAAATATCAACTAATGATATACACAAATAAGTATAATACCAGAAGGCCTTTACTTGCGCGCGTGAACGTGAATTTGAAACACGAATACATGTCCGTCCAGAATACACCACGAGCACCTCGCAGGTCGTGAAGGGAACGAACAGCTCCTGCCGGCATCTGCTAGCATTGACAGAGTCGGTGAAAGCGCGAAGGATCGGCTGGTGGCTTATGGTAACCCGGAG